CAGCGCCACGTGAGATGTTGCCACGTTTGCACAGCCCTATGTTTTCCATTCAACAGTTCGTTTGTTTTTCTTTGTGACGGCGAAACGCATGTGGAAGTTGCCAGCCTGTTTTTCCATTCCCATTCACGTTGTATGGCGACAACTCGTTGCGACAGTGAGAGCAGTACCTACCGTAAATTACGAACGACCTTAGCGCCAGTGTTCTGGACTGATGCGGCAATAAAGCAGCCAGGTTTTGTACGTTTTAGGCACTCAGCAATTCGGTTTCAGCTCTGTTCACAAAGATGACCCTGGTTTTGAAAATGCTTCATGGGTATTTTCTTCACGAGGTTTAAACAAATGCCTGAACTAATAAATGATTAAACTTCAGTTTCGGTCGCCGGCCAGACTTCACGCCGACGAAGTACTCACCAGCAGTGCAACAAGTATTAAATGGCCCCCTTATTGCCGCCGTCAGCAGCCACGCCGTATATTCGCCGTCGTCATCACAATCGGAAATGACGAAATACGGGCCCGTACATTACATGTACTTGTCGTAATCAGCGTTTTTATCTAATCAGCTACATAAGGTCGAACTTCATTATTTTGTGTGTTCATTTTACCGCAAGGCAGTCATCTAATTGTCGCTCGAGTGAACTGTCATTCATTCTTACTAAGCTCGATCGTCATTGCCACAAAACAAAAGAGAGCTCGAATCGAACGACTCGTGGAAAGCGGTGTGACTTACCACGCATCATGGCTCGTCTTGCAACTGGATATGTATTGCCTCGGAAAATCCGCGACGCCCAAGTGCGATCCTTCTCTGAGCGTAGGTTGGTGACGGGTTTATGTTCAGGAACTGCGCTCAAGCGCGTTGTGCTCTTCATTCTCCATTTGGAGGTGCAATACCCAAAGCTGTTACAAGGCGAAGCGTCCTGAGTCTCCTAGAACCACCTCTGTCAACTTACCCCACGCCGTCAGAACAGCCATGATCCGCCAGCGTTACCGGATCAAGCGTAAGATCAGTGACGCACTGTACGGCTGCGTATGCGCCTGTGAGGACACGCACCGCGACAATGAGCTCGTTGCCATCAAGCAGGTATCACTCGAGCTGGCCGCCGGTCTGCTCGAGGCGCATCCTAACGCTGACAACCCGTGGCAGGAGTGTCGCGTCATCACCAAGCTGCTGGCGCTGCCGCAGCACCCGAACATCGTGCATTTCCGCCAGGAATTCCTGCACAACGAGTCCTGGTTCGTAGTCATGGAGCATTGCCCTCAAGGGGACCTCTGGGACCGTGTAAAGCGCTCGCCCAATAGCCGAGTGCCTGAGCGTGAGGCGCTGCGACTCTTCCGTGAGGTCACAATGGGACTACAGTTTCTGCACTCAAATGGCATCGCTCACCGAGACGTGTCGCTCGAGAATGTGCTGATGCGCAATGGTGTGTGCAAGATCTCGGATTTCGGACTCGCCACGGACGCCCAGCGCACGTGCAAGAACGATGTTGTGGGTAAGGCGTCCTACATGGCACCAGAGGTCGTGGCGGGCGAGGACTACTCAGCCGTTCTCGCCGATATGTGGTCGCTGGGCATCGTACTGTTCGTCATGCTGACGGGCTCACCGCTCGTGCACATTGCATCCGAGAACGAAAATGCCTTTGCGGCCTTCCTGCAGCTCGGAGTTCGTCGCGTGGTGCGCGCATGGAAGATGTCATCGTTCATTTCGGAGGAAGTGTGCGACCTGATGTCGGCGCTGCTGCAGCGAGACCCAACTCAGCGCTTCACGGCAGCCGAAGTGCTCGCCCACCCACTGCTGCAGCTGCCATGAAGTTCTTTCCTCTTAACGTGTTTGTGCGGGTTCGCAGCTAGCGTTTTTTTTAGCTGTTAGTTTGTTGGCGTTCGCATCACGTGTCCGCTATTATACATCTCGATGTTGAAGTCAGTGCATATGTCAAAGTGGAAATGGAGGCTGAACACGCCAATACAGCGGTTTACTAACACAGACGGCACCTAAGCTGTAGCTTGTTTGAATGCCGCCATTGTGGAGTTCTTCTTACATGTCTAGCCGTAAATGTTCAAATCATTATTGTGTGCCGAATACTGCATTCTTCACTTCGATTTGGTAAAACGCTATATTCACGAACGAAAAGGAATTTCTGATGAAAATAAAGGCAATAATCAGTATTTTATCCCCGCATGTACATGCATACCTTATTGGCTTCTCCCGGGCTCGGGCTCAAGCTTTCGATTGTGCCGGCATCGTGCGGCACTACTGCCGCCTTCACACTCTAGTATCCCCACTCTTTGAATTGAACCGGCCCTTTAAGCATAAGTACAAATATTACCAGCATCTCTTAGCGGTTCCCATTTACTTTTTCGGCACATGAAGGTGTATTATTATATTAATAGCATTAAGCAAACTTGCTTGATGGGGCAGCGCTTGTGTGCAGCATAAAATAGAACAGCCCCTTCCAGCGCACAAAGGGATGGACATGTACTATTTTGAAGGAAGCCTACTGGATGAAAGTCAACCTTCCAAAACCTGTTTAGCGAACCAGAGATTACACACAAAAAGAAAAATATTCTATCGCGACTAAGAATACCATATTTGTTACTTTTATTTTGCAGCCAGGTTGTACTCCAGTTGACATTTGTATGATGATTTCTAGCAAGAATATAACGTTCGAAATAGTATCGCTTAACGCAGAAATGGACTTCTCTTGTCCACGATAATATGCGCGTTTCGGTTTTGTTGGGTGTAATATCGGCGTTAGAACGAATAAGACAACAAAAAACCATCGTCAGACAGATTTGTTCTTGCTGCATTCGGGGGAAAACTGTTTCGAAATGAGCACTAGAACATCGTTATTACGCTCGGTTTACCGGGGCCCATTAGGTTTTTTTTTTTCGTAAAACTTAGGCAAGTTAGCTAAATTCACGCTGAAAATACTGCTGGAACCTCTCGATACTGGCTATTGCATGAATTCTGTTTTATCTTTAAATCGCTGCTTTTACGGAAGAGACAGCACGGAAATAAATTGAGGTTTTTCTCGACGAAATTCGCATTCACTCAGAGATTTATACAATAGCAGGCCAGTAACGATTTATTTGAAAAGTTATGGTCAATTTTACATATGATTTAAGCGACACTTAAGATTAAACCGTACTTTTATTTGGCTTCTAGCAAGCGGAAGCCTTTGATGACAATCGCCTTCGGTATGGGGAGCGAAGACGGAGTTAGGTTTGATATTGCGCTTAGATAGAGCTTGCGTACCCGAGGCAACGCATAATTATTGCCACCACCGCAAGAAATTACACACTGCAAAATCCTTTGAAGCGTAACGACGCACTTGTCGATTATCGTGCGTGGTAAGCCTCGAAAAGCGTCTTCCACTACAGCGATCAACCCCTGGAGTTTATGCATAGGGTAGCGATACTGAACACTCTGAATAGCATTGAACAGACCAAGATCGAGGACGTTCATGTCCGGCGAGCGAGGTGGCTGACACGTCGTCTCTATCGTCCAGCCGTGCTCGATCCCGGCCTCAAGAATATCCCCCGTTGTCTTCAGCAACATGTGGTCCAGCGTTGTCTTGCTGCACCTTAATGCACAGCGATTTTCTCCCTACAGTACGATAAATATTGATCACAATAAAAAATAATTAATCAATTGCTTTACCTGGCCAAAGTTGCCGAATTACTGGAAATACTTTTTTCCTTGAGCATCTTCACGTACACCTTTCGCGTCATGTTGACGTTTTTCACCTCAATAGTGCCTTTTGCTCTATTTGCCGAG